AAAATAAAAGAAGTTTCCTAATAACCAAATCAACTCTTCTTTACTGCAGTTTAAGCTTGTTACTTCTGTTCTTAGGCAATCCAGAAAATAAAGAATGGGCTAGCCTTACAGACCAGGGGGACTGGTTGGCTAGGGAACAACTTTTCTTGCAAGGGCCTGGGTGACATTGTGGACAGCAAGCTACACATGAGCCAGGAGCACACCCTGGCAGCAAAGGCCAGGCCAGCAGTATCCCATGCTGTATAAACACAAACTGAGCCAGCAGGTTGAGGGAAGGGATTATCCCTCTCTACTCAGCCTTTCTTTAGGCCACATGAGGATTCTGCACCTCCAACATAAAGGAATGACCTCAATAAACAATCATCACAGATTAATTAGAGGACCTCCAAGGTGGTTGGGGTCTGAAGATCCTGCCCTGCAAAGATGAACAGGGCTTGTTCAGCATGGAGAAGAGATTGTTTCAGGTGGACATCACAGCAGTCCCCTAGTACCTACAATGAGGTCATCAAAGAGACTGCATCTCTTCAGACTGCCTCTACACAGTGGGAGGCAGAGACACAACAGGCATAAACTGAAACAAGGAAGGTTCTGGCTGGCTATAACAACACATTTACACCAGGAGAACAGTCAGGCAGCAGAATGGGTTGATTAGAAGTCGTGGAGCCTCTGTCCCCAGCAGTTTTAAAGACAGCTGTATAAAGTCTTAAGTAACCTGGTGTGATGTCACAGCTGACTGTGTTTTGAGCTGGAGGTGGGACTAGACACTTCCTGAGGTCTTCCAATCTGAATTCTCTTAAGACCTACAATTACTGTGTTTGAGGACTTGATAAGTTCTCTCTTTTCCCACTTTTAGTGTTGCAACAAAACAACCTGGCAATACTTTGTACTCTTAACAGTACAGTGAAATCTCTGGGGTAAGCCCTGTTGGGTTTTTACCCAAATCATATGACAGTGGAATCCCACCCTGTGTGGGTTCCCCAGCACATCTCAACAGCAATTCTACAAATGCTCGATTTCTTTAATTGCAGATGGAATAGTGCCACAAATCTTTAAAACTTAAATCTCAACACCCAGCAAACAACATTCAGAAATAAAAGGAGTTAAAAATTAAAAGCTAGCATAAGAGTAAGTCTCACCTGCATACTGGGGAAGCGATTGTCTGAACCATGGAATCCACCTGTACATCTTTTAATCTCAAGCGGTTTCCTATTAAAAATTCACAGTCTCTATAACTCACAATTATAAATCATATTAATATAAAATACATTCAGTGATGCATTGTTCACATGTCTATTTAAAGATTCTTAGAAGCTTGTCCATAGGGAATAGAAAGTCTTTAGAAACAATAGAAAGCTCTGGAAGAGAATGACTTGAAAATAACTTTTTTCTGCAAATATTATCTGCAGATAGTTTTCTCAGCAAATGTTGTCTCTTTGGAATTCTCAGGTGTCCATCAGAGTCATGTAAAGCCAAATATCAGATCACATATGAACAAAATGTTTGTTCTTAGGGTAACACAACTTCACACTACTTCATACAGGTAGATTCTTAATATTTGTTTGGTTTTTAATGAAGACTTGTTCACAGTGTTAGACAACAGGACTTCCTGAATACACAGACTGAAACCTTTTTGGGTTTTGAACAGACATGTTCAAAATTATATTTTTATAGCAGATGCTATTGTTCTGGGAGTTGTAAATTCATTGATCAGAACATGTAACTAACAGCAGGCTCAGTAAGTTCAATATATGCCAGCAGATCACTCAAAAGACTGATTCAACTGCGTAGTTATGCACGTGCTTAGGTTTCAACACTCACTTCGGAAATTCCTAAAGCATGACAAGCCATACTGAAGAATATGACAAAGTTTCTAACATCTGAAGCATGCGTTGCTTCTTTGCAATGTCCCTTAGCTATGACAAGCAAGAATACCATGCTCTAATAGCTATCACTGAACTCTAAGCATTTGAAAGAGAAATGCTATAAGAAAATGAGAAATTATTAAATTATTTGCTGCATAATCAAGTCCTGAAAACTGTAACTTACCTAGCAAGCTGCCATTGGGAGTCTAAATAGAAGTGCAATGGTTCAATCCGATCATTATAGGAATAATGGAAACGCTTGGGTAGCATCTGTTTCATGTAAGCTTTGAAGGGCTGATTTGGTTCTATGCACTGAAAAGTTTAAAATATAAAATGTACACTTCACCAAACTTTTGCTTATGTCATGCACAGTTCTTATAATGCACTTCAATTGCAAAGTGTCTGCAATAACTTCCATTTAGGACAACAGGACTCCATCAGGTTTAGAGTCAAATTGTCTGGGGACACAAATATTAATAACCATTTAAATAACAATTACTGTCTGGTTTTGTGTTCAATAGTTATCAGAATAATATTTACATTGGATTATTGACATAACCTTTTATTTTAACAGAAAATTATACAGAACCAAACAGTACTGCTTAGAATTAATGAAGATTTACACTGAGATGTGAACATCATGATACATTCACAAGTTGTAGACTATCCACTGCAATAATTCTACATCTCTGCAATACAGAAAGTAACAGACATTCAAAGGGTTTTCAGATTGAAAACCCTCAGGGACAAATAGATATTTCTACCAACTAAGATCCACTAATGATTTAAAAAAACAAACCCCCCCAAACAAACAAAAAAAAAAAAAAAAAAGAAAATAAAAATAAAAAATACCCACAAACGCACAAAAAACAACCAAACCAAACCCTCTACTGTAATATTGAAATTTTTGAAGAACGAAGTAATCTATACAAACAGTACTGGTCTCGCCAACAGTGTCTGCACAACTGAGTGGCAAATAGATTGTGGTGCAGGGATAAGAACAGGCACAGAGCAGAAAGGCAAGTTTCTTAAGATGGAACTAGCAAAAAAAAAAAAAAATAAAAAAAAATAAAAAAACCACCAACCCGCACACATCAATAACCTCTCTCAAAGCATTTATCTAAAAGGTGTGGGCAAGAAAATCTCATGCTTGTCCGGGAAATGGAACTGAGCTTTACACTGACTTGGCCCTCAGCCAATATGGTCCAGATACACAAGTTCTCAGTTTGAAGAGCAGCATGATACAGTTAGTGAAAAGAATTGAACACAAAACCTTAGTTAATGCACAACCAGATAGTCATATGACACCTTACTCAACTTTGACCTTCCCCTGCATGGAACTATTTTTGTTGTAGTTAACTGCATTGCATATGGAAGGTCACCGATTCAAAGTCCAGATGCTATGCTAGTAGCCCAGCAAACAGCTGATGCCATAAAATACTGTAAATGCCAGTAGAAATGAAGCTAGAACAACAGACACAATGACACTTACTGTGAGGTTTCTGACAATGCCTTCATAATTAACTGGAAGAATCATATGTAAGAATTAGTCACCTGAGTTTAAAAAAAAAAAAAATCAGATGTAAAATGAAAGCATTCCCATCACTTCATATAATTAGCTGAGTTTCAAAAAAATTCTGGACATGAGAAATTATTTTTCTAGAATGAAAACCACATGGAGCAAAACAATCACTAAACTGCAAAGCTACTGCTTTTATGAAATTTTAGTTCGCAGTCTCTCCTCCCCTTGCTAATTTACTGAAAGATTTCAAATTGTAAACTGTTAGCCAAAGTTAGAAAAATAATCCAGGAAATACATTTTCACAAAAGAGGCAACTAAATGCTGTACTAATCAAGCTGGATTTTTCCTGCTTGCTAATAAACTTCTAAGGAAAAAGAAACAAATATGATGACCAGGACAGCAGTTTTATCTGGCAAGTATCCTTAGAAAGACAGCCAAGTGCAAGCTGGCTAAGATCCAGATCCTTAAACTCAAGCAAAAAGGCACCATTACGTCATTTAGTTTGACATTTTGTATGGCACAGGCCCATTACATTTCACACAGTTACTCTGTCCTGAGTCCAATACCCAAAGTACATAAAGGATCACACTGGCAAGGTAACTATTACTAATTCCTGCATAGATATATGCAGTGACACAAAGAAGACTTATGCTCCTTCATGAAAACAACGCACTTGTCAAAAGCAGGAGATGTGCTGCTTTTCTTCTTCCTGAACTTGTTTCTCCAGGGAGAATCTGGAACTGCATTTGAGAACTCCCACATTCTCCAAGGAAATATTTAAAACAAGCTAGAATAGCATCAAGCAATAAAGTAAACAGGACTTAAAGTCACTAGGGTTGAGGCCTACAAGTTTTAAAGGACATGGAGAACAACAATCTAGATAGACAAAAAACACTATGAAGTGTGAAGGGAACAACTGCATTCAACATTAAAAAGTACCAAAACCTGCAGGCATTAAGTGTTATCTAAAATGAGACTGCATAGGTGCGATGGGGCTTGGAGCAACCTGGTCTAGTGGAAGGTGTCACTGCCCATGGCAGGGGGATTGGAACTAGATGATCTTTGAGGTCCTTCCAACCCAAACCATTCTGTGATTCTAGGATTCCGTGAATCAATGTTTAAAAATTTTAAAGCATTCATTGATTTTTATTCAGGTTTATTTTCTTATTTGTGTTTATTTGTAGTTTACTCAACTGCTGTCAGGCCAATTAGGCCACTTTTTTTATACTAGAAAATAATACTCACATAGAAGATAGTAACAGTCTATCATTCCTTTAAGACAGAAATAAAGCAAATTCATACATAAACAGGCAAATCAGGAAGTGAGGTGAAACATGAGGGAGGCATTTTTGGGCTGTCTTGAGCACGAAAGATCTGATCCAAAGGAATTCCATTCACAAGAAAACAGCATTTACAGTTAGTCACTCTGAGGCAGCCAGCAAAAGCAATTTGTAGGATTCAAATGAACTTTCAGCTCAACCTTTAAAAACACAGGTGCACTACTCCTTATTTATCCAGGTTGTCCCTAGTTGACCTTCACTCAGGTTTACCAATGGAATATGTGGATCCTAAGATTATATTCATAAAGTACAAAAGTGTATAACCAAGTAACAAAAATTAGTTTAGCAATTACATACAAGAGAAATACTCATCTGGAACATTATTAGGTCTTAGGCGAGCTGCAGGACCAGGTACTACTATGAAATCTTGAACATTGTCCAGATAGCTGTTCAGATATGCTGTTTTTCTGCAGCTCCCTGCTTCCATCCCTGCAAAGGGAAATAGATTTTATTTTAAAATGGGAATATCAGTGTAGAATAGCCTTGCTGAGGCCAAAATAGTCTGATTCTCACCTACACTGATTATCTCTTGCATGATCTTGATAGTACAAAACATAATTTCTACAGGTACTAGCTACATCATTAGCCTTGCCAGGAACATGCAAGTATAAACTCAGAATATTATTATAAAAAAAAGCTCTTCAAAATTCTGATATATTTTATAAAATTGAATTTACCATGGTCTGATATGAAAATAATGTTCAGGCATTTATGCAAGTTCATTTGCTTGAGACCATCCATCAGCATCCCTACTATGTTGTCCACTTTCTGTAATGCCATAATGACCTGTAAGGGCAAAAATTGGAATGTAAAATAAGTGTTAACGCTTAAATTAAAAATAGAGTTTATTTCTAGAGAGAGTGAATAAATTTTAACTGTAACAGTATATGCTAATAAAGAATAAGGAGCTCTTCTTACATACCATTCAAAGCCCGATGCAGTCCAGATATGTATAAAGGCGACGGGGGACCTAAACTGTTCAGCAACTCCCAGACTCATGACAGGGAGCACATACAGTGCACACTAACATGAGGAACTGTGAGGACACGAGATTTACAGCATTCTCAATACCCTCCTAAACCTGCTTTTTTTGCCAGTTGTACACCCTTCAGATGTGTAATCTTTACATCTACTGAGAATGGACCCGACAGGTACGCCTATGGTGCTAAATAAAAACAGGAGCCTGCAGACTGCCTAGCACCTGCACTGCTTGGGCTACCTCCATCTACAAAAGACTAGCTATATCTTAACTATACAGCTCTTAGCCCCAATTTTTTCCTGGTTGTCACACCAGACTAAGATACAGCTACATATTTTTATGTGTTATTTCTAATAAATCACCACCAATACAAAACGAAAAAGCCCCAAACTCCCACATTATAGCCAGTGAGGGTGGTTTTAAACCTATGAAATAGAGGACGTTTATTGCATTATGAGGGGTACAACAAAGGACAACATGGAACATCTTGCCTAAGAGTGCAGAAGCTGATGGGAGAACACCAGAGGGCTGAAGAGAATAGAGGAAGCCAAGCCTGCAGTACTCTTCCTCAGAATCCCTGTTGAGAGAGACCCTGGAGTAAACTGTCCTTGAAATTGTGACTGGATATCAGTCTCAAATTAGTTTAAAGGGACTGAAAAAGACCTAGAACAAGCTACCAGCTTAGTCCTGCTTGTGATCAGGAGTCTGGCACTAAAGCTCATTTGCACAGGTACAGCCACTGGGGCTACTTTTGAATACTTGTCAAATAAATGATGCCAAAAAAAGTATTTTTAAATGAAGTTATTCAGTTACATCATTATGCTACTTGTATAAGCTGTCTGGTTTTATGTGAACAAAGATGAGATGCTCTGGGGGAGACTATATACAAAGCCTCAGGGTCTTGCTAAATTGAAAACATACAAACTCTTTGTGGTTCCCCCACCCAAAATCAACATAAAGAATTAGTAGGACCAGATAAAACTACATATAAGACATACCCAAAAATGCTTTGCAATTTAAAAGTTATTGAAATAGATAAAACAAAAGTTAGACTTACTAAATAGGCTGTTCATAACATGCTTTGTTTTCAATGTTAATTATGGATGGACTGTCTAGTCACAATTCTTTTTCCTAAAAAGCATACTGAATATGGTTTTGGTTAATCTAACATGAAACATGGAAGTTTATTACAGAGTCGGAGTCAGAGCAAAGCTTCACATTTAAAAAAAAATAATAAAATTAAGAAACTACAAAACTACTTACTCCGCTGCTTACTGGTCCAAACTTATGGCCTGAGGAATCTGGTTCTTCTAAATACAGAGTGTAAAAGTGTGGTCTATATCAAACAGTACCAAAAATGTAATATTTTACATACACGTTGAGACACTTTGAAGAGATTATATTTCAGCAATGGATATCAAATATTGGAAACAACAGTCAGAGAGGAAGGATACATTAAAGGGAAATAGAGAAATGTAGATTAATTATAAAAGATTTCAGTCATAGAAACAGGTTTGCATTAAATACTTTAACTCTGTTAGAATTCTGTATAAGATACTGTTTAAAACAGAAATCATATTTACAAAGTGATTCATTGCAGCACCACTTGAACAGGAATTTGCAATTGCATACCTACCTTTCATCTTCAGGTAGTTGCAGCCAGCGAAGAACAGTTACCACCCTTTCTTCAAAGGGGATTGAGCTGTATCAGAACAAAAGATCAACCAACCTTGTATTTCCAACAGCTAGAAAATTTTAGTCACTCATTACAAAGTCAATGTACTTTAGCAGAAAAATTTGAATTCAGCTGGATACCATTAATGATCATTTAGCAGGATGCAAGTTTATGCTAATTGCCTGTGAGTCTACAGGAGTTAATGGCCTGATTAAAACTCCCTTGAATATTATCCTCATTGATTGTAAGGCAATTAGAATAAAGCTCCCAGTACTGTGTTCTTATACAAAGAGAAAAATTGGCTTCGAGGTGCAAAATCATATGCAAGTTTTCACTCCTGTATTATATTTTGAAACAGTTTTGGGTTGAGGATGGTTTGTTGTTGGGTTTGGTTGGTTGGTTGGTTTTTGGTGTGGTTTTTGTTGGGTTTTTTTTTTTAAATGTTTAAACAGTTTGAATACAAGTTCTCAACTATGTCAAAAAGTAAATGCTCTATATCAACTACTGAAGGAGACCAACAACAGGCATGTTGACCTGGAACAACATAAGGCACCCGACAAAGTCAGCAATTCAGCTACTTAACACAAGTTCAAGTAATGATGTACAAGTTCCTAAAGGAAAAATAATATAGATAGTAAGTCAACAATCAGAATTTCCATGCTATACGAAGGGTATAGGAAAATGATTGTAGGAAGATCAAAGTGAAAAACCTGATTTCTCGGTCAAGTTTTGAGATCATTAAATAAATGGTTATAGACAGATCTATGTAGAATTTTCATTAGTCAGAAAATGTTCAGCTGCAGTGAAGAGCAATCACTGACTAAAATGACTGCCTTAATGTGAAATACTTTCAAAATTTGCAATGAAAGTAATTTTACACTGGAACAATTTACCACAGACTACTTCAGTTTTCATGGACAATATCACATCAATCCATGATCCATTCATTGTATGAGAGGTTTGGGCTGAATGACACACCCACAAAAGATTTTTATAAGTAGAAACAGAAAAGCACTAAAGCTTCAAAGCTGGCTGCTCTTAAAACTGATTTTCCACATCTTTCCTGTAAAACATTTGCTGAGGAATGACAAAATGCTAAGACAAAGAATCTACATTATACTGAAAGAAAGTTAATTGGATCCTATCTTTTTTCATGTTGCATATAGCCATTTAGAAAAGCAGGGTGGGGGAGGAGGAAATTATGATTTCTCTGATGTTCATCCCATTGCAACAGTTTAATAAGATACTAATTGAAGACACAGGAGTTTACATACCTATTGTATTTTTCATACAGATTTGGAAAGGTTCCATTAACTGCTACGTCTGACCCAGGCCAAAAGAACGTAGCAGCTTTTAGACCTTGGTACATAGCCGTCAGCCAAATCTGCAGAACAACAATCACCATCATCAGTGCAGGTCACAGAGTTAACCACGTAACTGCAATATCCACTACCAGCTCTGTACCTTTCAGCAAGACTAAAACCTAAGAATGTAAGTGGAGCATACCATACAGTCAATCTTGCACGTTATCACTATCTGCAGTCCAGATGTATCTTGCAGCCTAATTCATTAATGGCAAACACTCACATCCTTTCTGCTGC